TAATTAGATAGGTATGATTTGTAGATTTTTGCATACCGTTAATATTTACAGCGCATCTCTCTGTTCCAAAAATGCTAAAAAACTGATTCCAATCAAAGCAACGATTAACAATTATTAGGAATCTTGTCTATCAGATTATCGTCTTTACTTCCCTGGTGTACTCCAGTTTGGTATAAAGCCTCCCAATAGTTCAGGTACGCTAATATCGTTCAATATCCTCTATCATGTAGCCTAAACTTTAGAATCGAAGTCAATACACCTTTTGGTATAGCTTAGTAGAAACCGTCGAAGGAGTTCATCAAGATAACATATTCGTTAATATTACTCAGTGTAAACTGTTGAAGGAGTTGCTGAAGCTAAAATATCTCTTAATATACCTAGGTATGAACCTTTCGAGGAGTTTATGAAACCAGGGTGGGTGTGGGTGTGGGTGTGTTCGTGTGAGTCTGTTAGTGTTGGTGTTGGTTTGAGGTGTGGGTGTGGAATGGAATGAATTGAACTCTCACACTCACACCGTCCACCCATACCCAACTATTCAAGTTTTCAACTATCCAGATTTGATGCATTCTATTAGTTTCCAGGAAACTCTTTTTTTTGTGGAATTTTTTGGAACAGGGTATAATAGGCGTAATGGGCATAATGAACGTAACGGGCATAAATTGAATTTCTAGGAAACTCCTTCCAAATTCCCCAAAAGAACCTACCACACGTCTCGAACAGCTCCTCCAAAACTATAAACAAAACTTCACAGCGAAGTAATAACCACTAAAGTGATATAAACCATTTTCCGTGCAGTCAGAGTCCACTTTCCAGGATAACATTTGAGCTTCCAATCAATACTTCTACAATTTCTTGAGTAGATCCCTACTTTTCAGAGAATCCACATCAGCGTAGGCATGATTACATGTGTTGGGAGTAGTGTCCGGCGTGACCAAAAAGTCGTGACCAAAGAAAAAAAAAGTTTTTCGATTATAGTTTCAATAGTACATGTGAGAACCGAAGCCTATTTATCTATTCTTGTTCAGAATTTTTTTCTCTTCAAAATAGTATATAAAACTCAAAGAATTCGATGATCCATAACAGAGAAAATTGTATCACATTAGTCGTGACCAGAAAATGTCGTGACTGACCGTGACCAAAACTGGTCACGACTAATGTGATGCAATTTTCTCTGTTATGGATCATCGAATTCTTTGAGTTTTATATACTATTTTGAAGAGAATAAAATTCTGAACAAGAATAGATAAATAGGCTTCGGTTCTCACATGTACTATTGAAACTATAATCGAAAAACTTTTTTTTTCTTTGGTCACGACTTTTTGGTCACGCCGGACACTAGTTGGGAGAGTTCCCTCAAAAACTCAATTAAATACCGACGCAGAAGATACAATAGATAAAGATGAGGTAGGATGTAAAGGAGATATAGAGATGTAGGAGATATAAAAGATATAAGAGATATAGGAGATATAAAAGATATAAGAGATATAGGAGATTTAGTAAACAGTTATTTATTTATTTTGATTGTTTTCTTCGGGCAACCGTCGATAAATTGCATGAATATATCAGAATGGAACACTATTAAAAATCAAACGCTATTTACGGACTATCTGCACTACTTACTCCATATCTTCTATATCCCTATATATCCGATATCCCTCTATGCCTTATATCCCTAAACCTCCTTCACCTCTATATCTCCTATATCTCCCATACTTCCTCCGTCGATATTCAATTGAGTTTTCTAGGAAACTCTCACAAAGCATCATATAGCAGGAATACGAGGTATCTGAGGGTATAGGAGGCACACAGTTCGTATTATTTGATGCTAGGGTTACTATAAAGCAGAGGCATCTATCCATGATTCCAAAAACAATCTCTCAATATTAAATATAGGTAAGACTCAGTGGTGCCACCTTTTGAAGTCCAAAAAGCAGAAAATGACAGAAGTTTTATCATCAAAAAGCAGAAAGGCAGCAGAAAGTATGTTTATGATATGAAACTAACGAGTAGCTTGTAATAAACGAGGGTCTCAGTATTTTGTTAACATCGTAAGCGTTATCTTATCGCTCACGCTTTATTTTTTTTATCAAAAGATTCACCGTCTGCTTCTGCACAAATTGCATATTTCGTTGTAAAAATACTTAATTCTTTCTCTTTCGACATCACTACGATTTAAAAACAGCACTACACACAACTTTCAAAATCTCTATTTTTTTCAATCTTTTTCGAAAACATCCAATCCTTAGATCAGTTTTATTATCATTGGTCGTGCCATATTCTTTATCCAGCAATAAAATAAACTGCCTCTGGTACGTTGATTGAAATGAACCAATTTGTCTCTTGAGTGGCGAACAAATTATACCCAAAGTAAGAGGATTAGTTGAAAAACTGGACATTTTGGAAAAAATTGAAAAAATTGAAGAATTTGAAAGTTGTGTGTAATGCTTGTTTTAAATGATGGTAATGTTGAAAGAGAGATAAGTGTTTTTTTACAACGACATATACCAATTTCTGCAGAATCAGACGGTGAATCTTTCGATAAAAAAAATAAAGTGTGAGCGATAAGATAACGCTTAAGATGTTAACCAAATACTGGGACCCTCTTTTATTAAGAGCTACCCATTAGTTTTAAATTTTAGTTTCCGTACACTAATCACTCGCATTGTATGCCATCACAAAACACAACTAATTAACAAATAGACAGAATTATTGAACGCATTTTCTTTTTAAGGAATATTCTTCATCTGATTCAAGAGCTTTTGACAAATCTTTTTTACCTAATAAATATTTATCCATTACAGTATATGATAAGGAGAAATTCAAAATAATTATTGATTAAATCAAAGCATTTAAAAATGTTTTTGTTTCTTATTGTTTATAGGATTATCAATATAAGCTTTTTATTGGCAATGTTCAGAAAACTGTTGATGATGAACGATAAATGTTAGTTAAGACCGATCAAATTTATATTCTTTTAAAGATCATTAATATTCGACGACTTTGAATCATTCTCTGTTGAAGATAACTATATTCAATTTCTGTTTTCTGATTTAACTCCTGATGACATAATTACTACTTCAGCAACTACCACTACTTTGTGAATATCTTCTTCGTTAGTCGAGCTGTCATTATCATCTAGAGCTGTTTTTTCTGTTCCTTTCCTCTCACTAATCATATTAATTATTCATGTTCATTGAGTAAACAGACGAAAGAATGTATATGTTGATGTATATGAATTCCATGAGTAATTAAAATACGATAGAAAACCATAGGTAAAGAATTGATTTAAAGCCAAATATATAGATTGGTAGTTGTTTGTAGTCAGTAGAAAATAAAAATCATGTATATCAAATAGAAAGAATTAGAGTGATATAAAGATATCAGTAGTTTTTGATACGATTTTTTTTAATAATTACGGAAACGAAGGTATTTCAGGTGAAAAATGTTGATTGAAATAATAAATATCGCCGTATCAAAAAAGCAGAAACGGCAGAAAAAAAAAACAGAAAAAACTTTAAAAAGCAGAATTTTTCTGCTAAAAACAGAAGAGGTGGCAGCTCTGCATCTAACAGTCCCATATTCATTTTTGTTCTCTCAAGATTAAACAAACTCTAATATCAATCTTGGTGTTTTCTCTTATTATTATTTATTAATATTTATATTGCGTATTGTGTAATACGAAATTATTAATGTTAGTTTTGTTATACGTTAATCCTTAATGATTAGTGTTATTATTCTTTCTTCTCATTCTTGGATATAATAAAACTCAAACGCACATTAAAGAAAACAAAACTTACAATGCTCTGGGACCATCTCTGATTTTAACCAGACACAAATGAACGGAATCTGAACAGGCTCGAAAAATACTGTTGACTGTCCTCATCATTTCATGAAGTTGAAATCTAGAACTTTAAATTGATCATCTTCTACTAACATATACAGACGAATAATTAGAATAGAACAGATGCATTACGAATCACATTAGAATATTTGAACTCGTATTTATGGTCGGTATTGAATAAAAACACGATCGCTATTGCATCCTATGAATAATCCTAAAATTAATTTTAATGTTGCATTTATTTTTAGAAAAGATTATTTAAAGACTTTGTCGTATATTTAGACAGACATTTGTATGTAAAAATATTGACAAACAGAATTTGTTTAGAAGTCATGATAAAGAGAATAGTGTGCCAAGAAAACAGACGGACATCCTTTCGAACGACACTCCTTTTATCCATTCCAGTAATGCGTGATCTTTTCTCCCCTACTTCCTGTTTCCTTTCCTCTCGGTATGCATTCTTTCTCCTTGGATTTTTCTCCGTATTTCTCTCTCGTTCTCTCTCTCTCTCTCTCTCTCTCTCTCTCTTTCTCTCCCCTTTTTCTTTTTTCTCTTTGAGATATTCTGATATAGGCAGTTGATAGTTGTATCCAGTTAGAGTAAGATGTACTCGAAACTATTGAAATGTACGCTCTTAGAGGTTATTCTGAATTGAGACTCGAAAACGGAATAGAGTCTAAACCTGAAATACATATAAAGAAGTTATATGTATACGAACAGAATATAGTGTGTATTTTTGCTGTGTATACTCAATACATTTATTGTTACTTGTTATTATTATTACTATTCAATAAACCATTACGTTTCGCTGTTGTCCGAACGTTTTACACCATTTCTCCTCTCAATACTTATATTCATCGATTAGAAGTATTTTCCGTTACAAATAGTACACTGAGTTTTGGTATCTGGTGAATAAATATATAGCAATAAGAAAAGGACATTTGACCTATAAAAAAATTATGCGTAGAACATATATTTTTGCTATCCTATCGGCATGCCAAAATGCGTCATAAAAACATGATATTATAAAAATATCCTTTTGCACTGGAGATAATATTACTTATGTGTTGTTACTCCGATAAGAGTGACATACAAGTATAAAACAATTTCAAACGATAATTCGTTCATGTTTTAGTTTAAGCTTCTTGTAGAACATAGTATGTCAAAGAACCGAGTTTTTAGTGAGCATGCTATTAAAAATAATCAACCACGTAAATGGTGGTATCGCCGTCGAATTACAATCATTAGTATTTTTGTCATCATTTTAATAATTTTTGGAATTACACTTGGTCTATTGTTAAAATTTGTGATTCTTGCACAGAATAACTTACAAAACATTAGCACTGCTACCGCAACACGATTATCAACGCCATCATTAATAACAATACCAATATCAACCTTACCAATAACATCGACAACATCATTGACAACTTCACACTCATCAATGTCAACATTACTATCTACGTCAACGTCAATGACAACATCTACAACAACATCAACAAAAACACCTGCAACAACATCTATAACAAAGTCTACAGAAACATCTACAATAGTGCCTACAACAATATCTACAATCATGTCTACAGAAACATCCACAATAGTGCCTACAACAATATCTACAATCATGTCTACAGAAACATCCACAATAGTGCCTACAACAATATCTACAATCATGTCTACAGAAACATCTACCACAACACCTACAACAACATCTATATCAACAACAGCGTTTACAACAATGACAACAGCAACAACAATGTTGACATCAACATCATCTTTATCAATAGCATCAACGACTACCACTCACCAGCCAGGTAAGCTGTAAAGTA